CATAAAAAGTGCCAGGTGATGCATGGTGTGAACAAGTTGAAAGTGGATAGTGCCTTCAAAAAAAAAAAAAAGAAAAATGAGGGTGTTAGCAAACCCAGGGTGTGGGCTGGGGTGCAGGGCTGTAGGAGATGCTGGCCTAGTGGGCACGAGGTGTGGGCTTAGGTATGACTTTACCAGCATCTCAGGCTTTGGGGTTCATCCAGCACTGCAAAGGAAAAAAATAAAAACATAAACAAAAGACCCACATGTGTGTTTCTACACCTTATACCAATGGAGACAAGGTGATGTAGAGTTTAGTAAAATTCTGAAATACTGAGAACACGGCCACAGACAAATCATGGGCTAATCCTAGTCCACCACCCAGTTATGTAAATGGATTTCCCTTCAGCTAGCTCACTTGCAAGCATATTATTCATTTGCCTGCACTTCGATGCGTCAGCAGGTGTTCAGAGTGCAAGCCAGCCAGAGAGGCCTCAGTGGGCTGCCAGGTAAAGCCTGTGAAAACTGGCATGGCTGGTAGGACAGCCCTGGGAAGGCCTTAGGGTTAGCCTTGTGGTATCCACACGCCAGTCTCAGCTTCCCTGAAAAGCCACAAATATCTTTCAATAGTTCCCTTTTCTCTTTTCCTCAGTGGTGAGTATGGAATAGAAGAGATGCCAGGCAAACCTGTATCACTGAGCCCAACTGTATTCTCTCTCCACAGAAGGACATCGAAAAGGCAACAATCCAAGAGGCGTGAAAGGGCTAATAGGAAAACACTTTTCTGGCTTTTTTGAGGGGGGGAGTGTGTGAGAGGGTCTCATGTATCCCAACCTGGTCCCTATCTCTAGTTGAAGCTGAGAAGAAGTTCGAATCCCCACTCTCCTGCCTCTACTTCCCAAGCCCTGAGATTATAGGTGTGTGCCACCAGGGCCTGTTTATGTGCTGTTGGGGTCACGCCCAGCACTTCACATGTGCTAGGCAAGTACTCCCCCAACAGTGCCTTGTCCCCAACACCCTAATGGGAAAAATTTTTAAATAAAAACGAAAGTCATTTAAAAAGCTAGGTTTGTCTTTTTAAAACAAAGAACTCTGCTCCAGTGTGGGTGGGAGTTTTACATGGTATGGCCCACGGGGCTGTGGCCCACATGGCTACGGCTCCTGTGATTGTGGCCCATGTGGTGCATTTGAACCTGGAGGAGCTTAGACTTCGAAAGGGCCTGCAGTGAGTAGCTGTAAGCAAGGCTGGCTCTGTGCACTCAGACACAGTTCTGTCTTCAGGAAACTCTCTGGCTCCAACATGTTTGCCGAGTGTGATTCATGGCCTTTCGCTCAGGATTGTCCAGTGGGTAATTGCTGCTTCAAAACCAGAGAAACAGATGTAGACCCTGAACCCTGGCTATAAATTCCTGTTTTATGATTATGGTTTTCAAATGTGCTGTGTCACACTGACAAACACATAGTTTTTCTCAAACAAAATGAATTTTTTCTCAAACTTTTGCTTTTTTGGTTTTTGCTTGTTGTCCAGTTGCTCATTGGGAAAACTTTTATTAGATCATTGATCAAACACAAAGAAAATAGAAGAGGCCAGTCCATGTAAAGCAGGGTTCCCACAAAGTGATATTGGGAAAGTTCCTGCTAGCTATTTAAATCAGATTTAAAGTGAGTGTCAATCATTTACACTTCATTGTGAACAAATTAGCTTAGTTTTTACTTTCTACCCTATTCATTAATCATTATCGTACATGAATATATATTCAAAGAACATCACTTACCTTTGGCACTTTCTTTAGATCTATTTAAAAGAAAGATTTCAGAGGACAAATCATGTTTTCAGAAGAAGTAGATTTACTGACAAATGATAAGAAATGTGGCTAACTTGTGAATCAGCTTTTGAATTAGCACTTACTAATGGCCTCAATCCCTGCTACCAGTGTAATTAATCCATGATGAGAAATAATTAATTGGCTAGTGAGTCCCATTGCATTATAAGGAACCCATAATATCCCATCCACACAGATTTAAATACTGATCAAGTTCATTTCACTACAATTAAAAGAATCTCAAGGTGATTATAAATTTAAATGATCCTTGTGCAAAGAAAGAAATTGCCCAGTCATAGGCACACACCACACCACACCACCAAAGAGCTTTGTGAGTGATTGTATCCATTCTGCCTAGCAAAAGGATAATCCTAGCTGGGACTATGGGCTTCTCAGACCCCCCACGGAGGGTGGGGGAGTGTCATGACACCCTCCCTACCACCTGTTGTGTGCCCCCCCTCCTCCTCATCTGGCTAAGGGTTAATGTTTGCAGGGGCTGCGGGCTCCACCTGTGCAGCTGTGTGGAAGCCCTCGTCTCTGCTGAGTAGAGCCTTTCCAGGAGTGGGCGCTCCGGGGAGGGGCGACCACAGCCCTGTACATAACTGTACATAACCACTCATCCGTGTTCTGTAAGGAAGCCCAGTGATCTCCAAGTTCCCCAGAGTGACCTCGGGCAGAAAGGTACCTCTATTCGCCCTTGGAACCTTAGTTTTAGAATGGTTAAGACACTGCTTAGACCTCCTGAAGGGAAGAAATTTTAGCAACACCCACACGCACACATTTCTGGAAGACATTTGGGAGCTGCGCCTCCTAGATGAGGCTGGCTAGAAACAGAATTTGGGATTCATTCCCCACTGCTCATCCTTTTGTCCCTGTGACCAGTGCCTCCCTGCACATTGGGACCATGATCATCAAGGAAGTATAGCAGCCTCCTGAAGAGAGGGCACAGACACACAATATCTGCCACAGGCCACGCTTTCTCAGTTTAAACCTGACTGTACTTCAGTTCAGCTGCTTCCTCTCCCCTCTGTCAGTACCTCTTCCTCTACACTCCAGAGTGTGGGTGACTCTGTTTTCAGAGAACCAAGGACCTTAAGGAAGCATTGGGGCAGTCTCTTGGGCCAAGCAGAAAATCCCACACCGCCCAGGATTTTATATCTTTACATTGGCTCAATGGAGGCGGGTTACAAGTTTGTTTTGTAAATTCCTACGTGCTTCCTCACTTGGGATGTGTGTTTTCTCTGTAGCGGAAGGGTTTCTAACAATAAGGCCCGCTTACTAAATGGATGGGTGCAGAAAGGAGAGAGAAACAGCCCACGCTTCTGCTTCACCCTTCCAGCACTCTGAACTTTTCAATGGCAAAACCTGAGCCTCTGAGCTGCAGAGTCAGCATACCTTCTTAGGGGCTCTCTGCCTCCACGACAGAGTGTGGCACAGGCCCCCTCCTGTATCAGGACAGTCAAGTCAGAGCAGCATTTCAGCAAGGGTGGGGGTCCCTCGCAGCCTCCCCCTCCCAGCACTGCCCAGAAAGGAGGACTGGAGCCCGGGCTGCCCAGCCCATCTTCTTGCCAGCCTTCTGTAGGAGAATTACTAGGGAGGCAGAGAAGGCAGAGGGTTTGACTCCTCCCAGCATCTTCTTTCCTGCACCCTGCATCCAGCAGGAGAAGCTGGAAGCTAGCTGCCGCCGCCGGTGGCTTCCCTTTCAAATCCCTACCTGCCTGTCTGCATCTATACCAACTGTCTCTGGGTATTGAGAACTAAAAAACAGCTCCTTCCTCTGGGCTGAGTCAGAGTAAACAGGTTAAAGAAGAAAAAGGGAAATCCTCTTATCTGAAAATTGTTTTTAAAGAGCAGGTGAGATTGGGTGGGAATAGACTGAGCTTTCAGACTTTTAAAATCCTCCTACTTGCCCGTTTTTCAAAATATGCATTTAATTACGTGTGGGAACCTGTGCTTGGTGGAGAGGCCACCAACACATTCCCTGAGCGTGGACTGTGGGAACAAGCAGCTAGCCGTTAGCGTTGGTGGGTTCAGCCCTCTCCGCCTCTGAACCCCGCGGCCTCGGCAGCTCTGGGTGTCCGTGGCAGAAGTCCCACAGCTAGAAAAGGGCAGCTGAGACACAGCTGACATTCCCTCTGTATGTTTATTGAGAACTTAGAGGTAGCTGTTTCCGTGAACGGCACTACAAAGGGTCTATTAGACAGGGGAGAAAAGAGAAAACTAAGTCCTAGTGAAAATCAATTTTTCCTAGACACGATGACCAGTGGCCTAGCCACTGTGTTTTCACCAACCAGTAAACCAGAATCTAAAATTCATTCTCATACACACACACACACACACACACACACACACACACACACACACACCACCCTAGGTCTCTCTGCTCTGCCTCTCGCTTTCTGCCTGTGTGTTTGTAAGAGAGGGATTGGCAGAGAGCGGTAAACGGTGGGGGAGAGGGGAGAGAAAGAAGGGAAAGGAGAGGGGAGAAGCGCTATCTAGCGCAGTAACTAATCTGTTTACTGCTCCAGGTGTCTCAGCCTGCAGGGGATTTTTAAATCTAAGTAGGTCCCGGAAGATGCTTCCTCCCCTTCCTACCGCCCCCCCCCCCCCGGGAGCCAGGGCAACCCCTTCAGATAGAGCCTGCAAGAGGGAGAGAGATTTAAAAAAAGAAGAAGAAGAAGAAGAAGAAGAAGAAGAAGAAGAAGAAGAAGAA